CAGGGTGATTTTCTGGCTGACTCCATTTCTCCCTTGATAGCTTAAATTTATTTCCATAAGTATTTTCTTTTCTTTCTTTCTTTTGTGGAAAAGGGGTGTGTGTTTGGGATGCTTGTCAGCCAGGGAGATAGTGATACGTACATCACACAGGGAAGGCACTAACAATGCACATGTCACTGTGTTAGGGGCTTGTCTCTCCCCCAAGAGAAGGCTAAAAGCTGAAAATATTAATGTTCATCAGGAAGGGACTGGGTAGGAAAAAAGTAGCATGTTTATATGACTATCAGACAAAAGGACTACCCTAAACCCCTGCTTATCAACATTGATAGTGTAAACAAACAATCAGTGTAAAAGCTAAGTTGGTGAATAATAAATATAGCATGATTTTATTTTTCATTTGTTTTTCTTGAGACAAGATCTCACTATGTGTCTAGGCTGGCATTGAACTCATGGCCTCAGTCTCCCAAGTGTTGGAGTTACAGATGTGCACCACTACACCCAGCTCTGCATTAACAGAACAAAACAACAACAACAAAAAACACTGAAAAGACACTTTTTCCCAGTTGGTACAAGTGTATGTATGTAGAACTTTTCTATGAATCTGAAAGAACAATGAAAAGTGAGCCTAGGGCCAGGGATTTAGCTCAGTGTTTCCACACCTGCCTCACAAGCACGAGGTCCTGAGTTCGATCCCCTGTATCCAAAAAAAAAAAAAAAAAAAAAAAAAAAAAAAAAAAAAAAAAGAAAGAAAGAAACAAAAGTGAGACTACCCTTCATCTGCTTGTCCTTCATCAAGGCCCACCCAATGTAGCAAAGGAGGTGCTCAGTAAACACGTGCTATGGGACTGACAGCATCTGGTGACTAGTATGAGGCTTTGGTTGTCGGTGAGGCAAAGGCCCTTTTCTTGGCTTGCAGACTGTCTTCTTCTTGTGATGGCCTCATACAGAGGAGAAAAGGTGAGTTCTGATCTTTTCCTCTTCTTACAAACAGGACACTAATCCCACCGAGGAAGACTTACCTACTGACCTCATCTCAACTCAGTCACATCCCAGAGTCCTCACCTCTGAATAACTTCACATTGGAGGTTATGGCTTCCACGTATGAACTTATATGGGAACAGAAACAGTCTGTTCACAAATTTCTGTTGCTGGCACTAAAGATTCATTCCCTTCTTGCATGCAGAATACTCTCATTCCATTCCAATAGCTCCAAAAGTCTTAACTTGTTCTAGCACCAACTCTAAAGTCTGAAGCCTCATCTAGATATCATCTAAACTAGATATGGGTGAAATGCCATGTATAACTCTGTCCTCAGGCAAATTGCTCTCCAGCTATGAACCTAGGAAACTACAAAAGTTATGTGCTTCTAAAACACAGTGGAGAGACAAGCCTATGCTAGACATTCCCATCCCAAGAGGGGGAAATCGGAAGGAAGAAAGGAATGACGGGTTCAAAGTAAGTCCCAAATCTGAAGTTCTGCTGGGTGGTCCTGTTTCCCCAGGGGCTCAACCCAGATGCTGGTCCAACTGAAACTGAAGCAGTGCCCTTCTCCCATGCTCTCCCATGGACTGGGGAGGCAGCCCTGATGCTCTCTGAATCAAAAGTGATTGTGTTGAGATAAGATCAATTAGTGCCTCCTAAGTGAAATAAATAAGGCATACATGTGAAAATACCGAATAGTCTCTCTGGTGTGAATAATCTGCAATAATACAGAAGATCCTAATAAGATTACTGACATTTAGAAAGGGGAAGAAAGGAGCTAAAGGTGTAGGGAAGGTGGGATGGGTAGGGGAAGTGTAATAAGGGAAAAGAAAAAAATGTAAGATAATGAAAAGATGGAAATAAAGTGTTTGTAGATGGGGAGGGGAGGAGGGGGTGAAGGGAGGGCAGGGACAAGGGGAAAAAATGAGAACCAAGACCTGTCATGTAGAGGTACAAATTCCCAACAATGAATGTAACTGTACTGTATCCCTAAAATGTACCAATAAAATCAATTAAAGCTGAAAAAAAAAAAAGATCAATTAGTGCATGTTTACTGCTGAATAGCCCTGTGGTTCAGTCCTGATCTAAGAATCCACATTCTGTCTCCATCTTGAACTGACGCCAATCCCTTTTGTCCAAATTGGCAGTTTTTCTGCTGGAGTGGCTGATTAGTTCTCACCTACACTAATTTTATCAAATGGCTATTTGCCACAATGTTGCAGTTCTCTTCTGAACCTGTTTTTTTATGTTTTCGAAAGATGATCAGGCTAGAATTTTCCAAATCTTTAAATTCTGATTTCTTTATTGCTTAAGAATCCTTTGCTCCACCCCAAAAGGAACCTAATCTCTTCTTTGACATTTTGCTTAGAAATCTCCAATTTCATCACTTGCAAGTTCTACTTTCTACAAAGCACTAGAACACAAAACAATTTTCCTTTATAACAAGGACTGTTTTTCTCCATTGCCAATAGCACGCTCCTCATTTCCTATGTGAGACCTCATGGGAACTGTATTTAGTTAGCATCCATATTCCTGGCCTGCACCTCAAAGCTCCTCCAATCTCTACCCATTGCCCAGTTCCAAAGCCACTTCCACAGTATTCTGTATTAACTGGAGTGGTACCCCACTTCTCAGCACCAATTTTTGACTTACTCGGGGCTACTATAACAAAATAAATGGGGTGACTTTAACAACAGATATTATTTCCTACAGTTTTGGTGGCTGGGTGGAGCAAGGTAAAGGTGCCAACACATTCATTTTTTTTAGTGCAGGTTCTCTTCCTAGCTTGCTAAACTGTGCTGTGTTCTCACAGGGGAGAGGGAAGGAGACCTCCTCCTCTTACTCCTCCTCCTCCTCTTCTTCCTTCTTTTACTTATTTATTTAAAAAATTTTTTTCACAGTACCAAGGATTGAACCCAGGGTCTTCACACTGAGCTATATCCCCAGCCCTTTTTTAATATTTTTATTTTTGAGACAGGGTCTTGCTAAGTCTGTGCCTGTATTTCTGGGAATGCTTTAACACAGACTGAAGTATAAATTATGCATATCAGACTTTCTGAAACAGAGACTTGGACACAAGCTGAGGAGTCAGAGGAAGAAGGGAGCTGGGAATAGGAAGGAGGCGCTCTCTACACCATTAAGGCTGGCCTAAAGCACAGACCACATCCAGGCACATACGCATATTCCAACATCTTTGAAGGGGTATCTCCTGCTGCACTGGCTAAGTGCTAGAGACAGAGTGAAAAGAGAGTGCTTGTCCTCCTAGCATTTATAGCTCTGCAGGAGCCAATGGGTAATTACAAACTTTGATTTTTTTCATCAGATTTTATATGTCCTGTTCTGTCTGAGACACTTTACAGTCCCTCTGCTAATTGGGTTGCTCCTAGCAATAGGTTAAGTCCATGTAGGTGTAGCTATGGTTTCACAAGTCTGAGTTCTGAGCCTCAGCACTCTTAAGAGCCTAGCACTTGTGTTTGCTTGTCAGTACCCCCATGAGAGCGTAAGCTTCTTGAGGACAAAACTGTGAACCTGGGTATCCTCAGTGCCCACTATGGCCCACTTCCTGCAGGGAGAAGGTGCAGGAGTGGATGGCTGGTCTTTGTATAGATGTGGAGGAATGGTGATTGGAAATAATTAATGGGGCTTGAAAAACAGTAGAAAAAGCTACTGCAAAGCCAGGCACTCATCCACCTCCTGGACTAACAACTAGCTACTTCTTACTCCACAGCTGTCAGAGGACGCTGTCTATTACGGTTTGAATGCAGATGTTCCCAGAAAACCTTACACATTCATAGATGGGGCTTTTGGGAGGTGACTGGATCACAGGGGTGTGATACTCACTAGTGGATTAGTTCACTGATGGATAAGTTTATAGCTAAATGTGATGTTGGGAGCTGAAGCCTGGTTGGAAGAGGTGCGTCACCGGGGGCGTGGCCTGGAATGTCTATCTCCCTCCCTGCTCCCTGGATCTCTTGATCTCTCCCTGCACCATGCCTCCTGGCCATGCTGCCCTTCCTTAGAGCCAACCAGCCATCGACAGAAACCTCTGCACATTGAACCGAAATAAATTTTTCCTCCTTTAAGTTGTGGGAGTCAGGTATGCGTCCTAGCCATGAGAAAGTAACTACCACAATGCCTCATCCCACTCTCAGTGGGGCTCTGGGATTTGCAACCTGCAGCCAGAGAAGTGTCAAAGTCCAGAGTGTGAACACAGGATTGCAAAAGTCGAGTGTGAGGCCTGCTTTCACCACTGATTACCCGGTAGCCTTGTGCAAGTAACACAGCCTTTCCCTGCTTCAGTTTTGTTGTGAAACAAAGCTAAGAGTAACACTCATTTTATAAAGTTGTGCAGATGATAAGGTCGGAGCAATTGTGAACACATACATGCTGGCCCCTGCAGTGGTCCTGCCCTCGTCCTCTCTAAACCTCAGTTGAGTAAACTGTAAAGTGGGAATAATTATATTGATGAAATTAGAAAGTAAAGCAGCGTTATCAATCTGTTTCCCCCCGGGGGGGGGGATTGAAGGATGGACAATACTTCCAGGCTTGTCAGGCTACTAGGGCCGGCCCGCCCACCGCGATCTACTGAATGCTTTGTGCGGACCTTTTCTCGCGCCAATGCCAACCCAAGCCCCAGGACCCTATCCCTCTGGACCAGGCCCCTGCGATTTGTCTGAATGTTCGCAGAGGCCGGCACAGAGCCCTGATGACCCAGGAAGAGCACGGACGGGTGGAAAAGCCCCCATAGTAGAAGACAGGGTGCGCCCTTCCTTGCGTTCTGGCGTCTGCCTATTCCAGGAAAAAGAAATTTAAAACGTCGTAAAGGAGACAGCCGCCGGAAGGGAGCGGCTATCTCCAGGCCAACTTCCAGCTCTGATAACTGCGGGCGAGGGAGCCACGGTTGGCCCAGCCCAGCCCAGCCCAGCCGGCAAGGAAGCAGCGCGGCGCCTCAGCCCGGGCTTCCCCCGGACAAGGTGCCCCCAGCAGCCGCGGGAACCCCCGCCCCGCCCTGCGCTTACTCTGCGGACTCAGGGCTGCAGCCAGGCACAAGGTGAGGAGCCCCAGGGAAATGCCGCAGATCTTCCTTCCTCCGGGCGGCGGCGGAGGCCTCATAGGCGAATCCTGGCTGGCGCCGGCCTCGCATGGACTCCTGAACGGATGCTCGCCACGCCGCTGCAGCTCCTGGAGCCCAGCTGCTGCTCTTATAGCTCCTCAGGTTCTCCAGGGCCAGCTGCAGATGAGTGGGTTGTACTCTGGTTGAACCAGTTCCTAAGAAGGGAGGGAGAAAAGAAGGGGGGGGGAGAGAGAGAGAGAGAGAGAGAGAGAGAGAGAGAGAGAGAGAGAATATGGAAAGGTATGGGAGGAATGAGAAAGCACACATTCATATAGTGGCAAATAATGAGTAGTCTCCTGATGTTCACATCCACTTCACTGCTATTGATTTAAGAATCAGCTGGATGCTGGGTGGCAGGAGGAGGGCGAGTACTAGCAGTGGCTGAGGTTGGAAAAGGACTATCTGATGGCTCCATTGAAGGAAAGCCTCTTAAAGGAGTGAAATGACAGGCTGGTATGAGGGGAGACTTAGGCTGATCAGGGTGGAGCCACTGGTCAGTGATAGCATCCATCCATCCAGGAAATGTCCACTGCACAGTTACATAGTGCCATAAGGCGTGGTACATGTAGCCTCTACTCTCAGAGAATACTGGTGGGATGAAGCTGGGCACTATGTTAAGTGCTGAGATACAAAGCTAATATGGTCACTTCTTTAGAAATCTTGGTAAGGAGTGGAGGCTGGGGAAAAACCAGCAACTGTGCTGTGGTATGTACATTGCATTTGACAAGCAAGACCTGGAGTGCTATAGGGGCTCAGGGCAAGCGTAACTTCGAGGGGGGGGTGTGAGTAAGAGAGAAATCAGTGGTTAAAATAAGTGAAGTTCTATTCCACTTTGTTAGTATTGGATTTCCCAGCCTCCCTTGCAGCCACAAGGTAGCGGTATGACCCAGTGCTGGCCAGTGACGTTTAAGGTGAAGATTTCTTGGGTTGTTTCCGGTTTTGTTATCTTGATAAAATTTTTGGGACAAATAAGGCTGGGACTGCCCTTCATACTTTCTTCTGTCTTGCAAACATTCTTTCTCAAGGCCTTTGATAGCCTCATATAAAGGCTATGTTCCATTAGTCCAAAATTAGGAGGCCTCCAAATTTGGCAGAAGTCAGCCATTCTCGAGAAGGAACCAAAGTGTTATTTGGTGGTAGCATGCCCGTGGTCCTTACACAGCTTTCATTCCCCGGGTTTAAGAATGTATCCCACCCAAGTATTGGAATTTCTGAAGGGATATCTTAGCCTTTTCCTCTGAGACTTTCTGTCACTTCTTTGCTAGAAAATTGAGAGTTTGGATAGCTCCTACACTGAGCTGCAGATTAGGATATAATCTATATAATTTGGACAGTTCCTTGTTTAATTTCTAGATTAAGTCCTTTCTCTGCCTGAGTAAAAAGATGAATGCTAGCTCCAAAGCCTGGCAGGAGAACTGTCCCAGTATATTGTTGTTTTTCCTTTGAAATGGGATTTTCCCATTCAAAGGCAAACAGGAACTGGGTATCTATGGAGGGGACTAGAAAAGAGAGCATTTTGGAGGTGAAAGACTGAGAAACAATTTGTGTCTCTTGGAATTTAAGAGATAATTTTACATGGATTAAATATGGATTGGAGTTATAGCCTTGTTAATGAGGCAGAAGTCCTGTACCATCCTATAATTTCCTGAAGGTTTTGCTACAGGGAGAATAGGAGTACTGCATGCAAGGGACTGGCAAGGCCCCATAAGGCCATTTTTGAGAAACCTCTTTATGAGAGGCTGGAGGCTTTCACAGGCTTCTTTATGGATATTGCTTTTGGTAGGGAATTTGGCTGGGATCTTCTAGCTTTTTGTTTTGTTTTGTTTTTTGGTGCCAGGGATCGAACTCAGGACCTTGTGCTTGTGAGGTAAGCATGTGAGGTAAATCCCTGGCCCTGGGATCTTCTAGTTTTATAACTACTGGCATTGTTAAATTTGCCCTCCCAGATATTCCATTATATCATGCAGCAAGATCTGTCTGTTGGCTAATTAGGTCAGGGTGGTCTGGTATGGTCTCAACAGGTAATGTCCACTTTGGCTTTTGCTGGAATTGGAGAGTTGCCTTTAATTTTGTTAGTAAATTTCTTCCTAGTAAGAGAGTAGGACACAGTGGGACAATTAAAAACTCATTATTGAACATTTGGCTTTTGAACTAACATGACAGAGCAGGGGTAAAGGAGCTCTGCCTAAGGACCCATTGAATCCAATTATAGCTGTAGATCTATAGGAGGGGTTTTCAGAGAAGGAAATTAAAACAGTATGCTGCCCCTGTGTGGACAAGCAATTGAATTTGCTTACTTGAGGGTCACCCAGGGTTCTTCATAGAAGACAGAGCTGTCTATGGATAGGGACCTTGCAGATTTCCCTGGGCCCTTCCAGTCTTCTTCATCAGAGTGGGAGGTGAGGGTTTTGGCTGGCCTAGCCCAGCTCTGGGAGCTGGGACAGTTAATCCTCCAGTACCACGAGTCAAGAACATCAGCCTGACACATGGAACAGGGCCTAGGTGGTGGCTTCGTACAGTCACTTGCCCAGTGTCCAGTTGCCTTTCATTTTAAACAAAGAGCCCTTTCCTGATTGGTGGTTTTTTTCACTTGGATGGCTTGGGTGGCTTAAAATGTTGCCAATTGCAACAGCTATAATTTTGTCCGGTCTTTTTTACTGGGGAGTTCTCCTTTCAGGATCTCCTTCTCTAGATCCTGATTGTTGAACACAGAATAGCTGTGTCCTTCAATTGGGCCATAAGGGTCTGGGAGCCCATCTGAAGTTTTTGTAATTTGCACCAAATGTCTGGGACTGACTGACTAATAAAATGCTATCCTATGCCTGTCCCTCCTTGGAAAATGGATCCAGGTTTGTATATGTATGGAAAGCTTCTATGAAGGTAGCTGGATTTTTCTTTGCTCTGTAACCGCTCTCACTCTTTTATCATTCCCATGATAAGAGTAGTTATCATTTTAGACCTTATATCTAGTACACTGCTAGTATTATATTCCCAGTTTGGCCTCAGTAAGGAACTCCACTCTGAGAATGTTCTGTGAGGCTAAAAGCTGTCTGTGGAACTTAAATAGGGGCTGGGGAATACTGGGCCTCTCTGGGGAACAAGTCTCTGGTGGAGTTCCTGAGTCACTTGAAGAGGTTGCAACTGATTCATTGTCCTGAGGATTATAACGAGTTTGAGGAGATCACCCAGGGTGGTTGTTTCATTAAACAGATGGGAGAGACCCATATCCCCCTGAGAGACAGGTTGGTATCTGAGGACAGGATTATCAGTGATATAAATTTCCTCTTCCTTTGAGGCCTCTTTAAGTACCATAGTTCGTGGACCTTTGCAGAAATAAAGAACCATAAAATTTGAACATTAGGAATTTCACACCACTTTCCTTTCCTTTTGTAAAAACGATCTGAGGAGTATACTGCAATTTAAACTGCCATTTCTTATCCATCTCTTGCCATTTTTGTTAGTTCATATTGGACCCAAACAGTATTGTAATAGAAGATAAGTTCCTCGTTTTTTCAGATTGTCAGGATCAATTTTCTCTCTCTCTTTTTTTTTGGGAGGGGTGGTACCAGGGATCAAACTCGGGTCTTTGCACTTGCAAGGCAGGCATTGGAACCACTGAGCTAAATTCCCAGCCCTTTCTCATTTTTTAAGGATGTAATCTAATGGTGAGGTCACTGGGATCTGCAAGGTGTTTCCCATCTGTGCATTGTGGAGCCTATGAAGAGAAAGAGAGAGAGAGAGAGAGAGAGAGAGCGAGACTAGGTCTGGGTTCTTCAGAGCTTATTTGTGCAGAAGGATGTAGACCTGTTGAGTCTCTAAGGCATCCCTGTGAGACTCAGATGCAATATCAGAGGTCTGGTTAAGCAAGCAGCACTGGTGCCTTTCCTTAGACTGCCATAGTCTGTGACCCATTTTAATTCCTTAAAGACCCTGGTGGAGCCACTGGGGATTCATCTAGCCACTTGAGAAACACTGTTTCTCCCATTTATCTCAATAATAAAAACTTGGGTAATTGTGCTTTAAACCAGTAGAGACCTCTTTTTCAGCATTTAAGATAAAAAAGAAGAAAAAAACTTAAAAAGTTCTAAGTACAAGGATAGGGTTTGTTATCTATTAACTTCAGCTCTACTTCTGCATACTCACAGCCAATTGAGTAGACCTTCACTGGCTGTTCCCTTTGTTCCACTCAAGCCCTCAGGCACATGTTTCTAAATTACTTTAATTTCTGTTAGAATAAACAAGGAGGGGATGGAACTTGATTTAGAAGAAAAGAGCAGGTATGTTCCACATGTTCTCTGAAAGTGGAAGCTTTAGTTCGTATCTATAAGGGTAAAAATTCCTGATGTCCATGAGGTCAATTGAAAAAGAAAATGGAGAACAAATATGGTCAAACCACGTGACTGACCCATGTGATGAACCAAAATGGCTGACAATCATGGAGTAAAGGTGGACCAGGATGGCTCCTTGAAGTTTTAAGAAACAGCCCTGAGAAAATGAGTCACTGAGGATACCCAAGCATAAAAGTCCACCTAAGAGAAAAGTGCAGATGAGATTTTGAGCATAAAAAGGTCAAGCTTAGCTAGGCAGCTATTCAAGCAGGCTCTCAAAAGAGTAAGGAACCCGAACAAAGAATTAGGGAAGAAAAAAAATGTGGGGGTGTGAAGGAATACTAAGCTTTAGGTCACACAGTAGGAAAATGAATGGTCTGTTTCATGGCCAGGTTAATAACAGACTCTAGCAGCTCCCAAACCACATGGCCATCAGGACACATGTCCCCAGGGTGCAGCCCCATATACACCAGGGACTCAGCATGAGCCAGTGGATATGGCAGAGAGAAGTGATGTCTGGATACCAACTCCTAGAGGCATGGTGCAGGGCCAGATGGTGACCCCACTGATGATTTGAACATGTCTTACCTCCACGTGGCAGTATATACTAGGTAAATATTCCAGAGAAGTGAGAAAACTGTCTGAGTCTCCAACTTCCATTAGTTTTTCTCACCCCTAAGCAAAACTGTTTACCTCCTGGCTAGTCTTGACAAGAAATATGTTTCTGGTTTCTGGGGTGCTGTGGGTTCTTCCAAGGTGTTCTTTCCAGGATCTTGTTGTCCTGAACAAAGAATTGGACCAGACAAAGGAAAAAGGTAGATAGTTTTACATTATTTTTTCTTAAAAAATATTTTATTTGACAAAGTAAAGGTGAAGAGTGAGGGAGAGACTGGCTCTGTAGAGCAAGCCTGGGCTGAGTAAAAGAGGAAAAAGCACGATAAAAGAATACCTTGGAGGATGCAGGGTGGGCTGTGATAGCAATCTCTTCTTGGCATCTGTCAAAGCGACAGACATCTGGAGGACCTGTTGACACTGGTCCAGAGTATCAGCAAGATATGGAGAGAGATATGGAG